TTTTTTTTTTTTTTTTTTTTTTTTTTTTTTTTTTTTTTTTTTTTTTTTTTAAATTGGGTTTGAATTGTACATATATATCCTTTTCCCCTCAACATGTGGTATTGATTCGTTCTCCATATACTGGTAGTTTCAGAACAGAATTTCAAAGTCCAAATGCATGTTGATAAGAGTGTGAGTTTCTGTTGTTTGGTTGTTGTTTTTTTTTTTTTTAATTGTACATAACTTTCTCTTACCCCTGGCTATAATGAGGAGCTTTATGTTTTCTCTAACAATGTCATATGCTGTGCATATTGAGAGAGAAAACAGAAAAGTTGTCTCCAAATAGTGATCTTTAGTCTCAGTTCATTTAATAGTTCTATCTCACAAATGTCATGCACTTCATATTCCTGTTTAATCTTTGTGAGTGAGAATAAAATCTCATGTAACATTACTATAGATCTTACTTAAACCTTGAAATAAAATATTTTGTCTGCTGCTTGTTAGATGGGCTCTGACACAGCTGCTTTTCCTTTCCCAGCCTTCTTTACACTATTCTTTTGTTCTCAAGTACCATGTTTACAACACGCATCCATTGATTCAATTTGGCTTCTTCAACCTCTGTGCTGTATTGTTCTAATTATTCCGGAGTGCAATCACTGTTTTATTTTACACTCCTGTCTTAAAATCTAGTGATCTTTCTTCATTCCCTGCTCTTAGTAGCTACTACCTGGCAAGTTGTCATTTTCCTTTTGGCTTCATTTTATCCTCATTCTATAATTTCTATAATTTTCTGTGCCTAATCAATATCTGAAAGCTCTTGAAGCAGAGTGAAATGTGATATTTTTCTTGTTCCTAAGATGTCTCAAGCACCTATGACATTCTTTATAAAGATTTGGATTTTTCTGGTAAAGAACCTCCTGATTATTTCCTATCATCTATTAAATTACGTGTTTCTACAGTCTTTTAATATTCAAGTTATTAGTTCAGATACCTTGAGAAAACCTGAAATAGATACCATTAAAATGTTTTAAAAAGTATATGAAAGTATTAAAAATCAGTGCATTGACAATCAAGAACTCAACAGCAGGAATTTTCTTTTGCTTTAGCAAACATCTGTAATTTTCATAGTCATACAACACTGCTTTTTTACCTTAAACTTATTCTTGCAGCTAGGTAGTCAATGTGGAGGCACCTAACAAGATGACTTGCTTGGTTAGAACGTGATGCTAATAATGCCAAGGTTGCAGGTTCAATCCCAGTATGGGCTATTTGCTTTAGCTTTGGACTTGATGATCCTTGTGGGTCTCTTCTAACTCAAAATACTCTGTGATTCAAGATTTTGTGTTAAGTTACTCAGCCTCTCTGTGCTGACTGAACACTAGTTCATTTGAGTGCTTGACTTTTTCCTAATTGGAATGTTCATAATTAACACTTTTTTCCCCAAATGTACTGAAAGGCTAGTGTGTCTAAAAAAAAATTAAAATAAGAGGAAAAAGCAAAATAATTATGAATCATAACTAATTCTACTTTTCTTGATTTCTGTTGTTTCCTGGAGTGAGGGTTTGTATTTGTTTGTTTTAATTACTATTTTTTTAAACTTTTTAAATTGTTGTTAGTGATGTTTTTTAAACTTACCCCTGCTGTTTTGGGTTTAGGTAAAGATGAGACTTAATTCATGTCAGCTGATCACTGATTCCAAATGATGATTATAAATTCTTATGTACATGTTCTACAGATGTTGTTGCTGATCTTCTCTGCAGTTTGAGCATTAGTGAAGAGAAAGGCTTGAGTCTGCATTTTAAAAAAACTAAAAGGAAAAGAAATTACAAGATAATTTTCAATCAGTAAGCTGGAGGTGAAGGATAAACATAATATATCTACATTAATTTTGCTTTATCCAAAATTTTTTTCTGCTTATTGTGCAGCAAAGATACAGAACTATTGTCAAAATAAAATAAAAAACAAAACAAAACAAAAACAAACAAACAAACCCAACACCAGATCAAACCCAAACCATCCAATATTACATATTTATAAGATGTAAGCATAGATTTGACTTATTGAATTACTTGGATTTCAGGATAAAATATTTAGGGTCTGTCCATGTGGTAAGACTGATCAGTTCTTGAATTCTGCTAGAGAAATCCAACTCCATTCCTGCTGGGCACCTAATACGAACCCAGAAAGAGGATAAGAATAAACTGCCCTCCTGGTTCATTCAGAAGTGTCATGCTGGATTCTACAGAGCTTGAAGCCTCAAGATATAGCTATCAGGGGAGAAGTGGGCATCTAACCAGTTCACATCTGGTTAATGACTAAGGAGCTCCTCAGGCTATAAAACGGTGTTTCCCCAATGCTTGTGCATGTGAATCAAGTCCTGTTTTATTCCAGAACTGAAAAAATTGAAGAATTCACTAGGAGTCACTAGAACAGTGCTTTTGTTTGTTTGTTTGTTTGTTTTTTAAAATAATATTCTCTCACCTCCTTAGAATTTGCATTATGAAACAGAGCCTATGTTTTTCTCAACTTGCATTTTTCTTTTTTACTATGTCAATTTCACTGTGTTAGTCACGGGTTCTCTTGTTACTTTTTCAACTTAATGAATTTTACCTTCTGGGATAAAAAAGCAAAAGGAAATAACAGTACCCAGAATCACAACTGGTAGTGGGAATGAATCTGGACAGATTAACTATATTGTTATGTCAGAGCCATTTCATGCTGGGTTTATGTTTTACAAAAAAAATTCTGATGTGCTCTGCACATTTGCCCAGAAGACAAAAGGTAAACTCTGTAGTCATTAACTTGAAGGGCAGTTAATAACAAACTTTCTTGTTACTCTTGAGAAAGTTTTTGCACTGCCAAAAGGACAATTTGAATGGATGTAAATTTTCTCATCACCAGGATCTGACATTTCATGACACTTGTGTCGCGTATTTTTTCTGTTTCTTTTCTTCTCAAGAAATTTCTTTGATTTATGCTGCATCATTTCATTCTGCAACTGTTATAGTTTATTAAAAGATAGTGAAATGCAATAGTATATTTAGCCATATGTAGGCAGACCCTAATATTTACACAAATCTGTACTAAGCTTGTAGATAGATGCTTAAATTTCAGGCTTGCTATCCAGAAAATGACTGTCTGTTCCTGTTTCCTTTTGAGAGGATTTCTCTGCCTTGGTTTACTTATGGAATGTGATAAGGCAAGTTCTTTCACCTGTAAACTCATTCTTCCTATGAATTTTGCTACAGGTGTGGTTTGTCCACCTTTTTTCTGAAATTTCCAAGAGTCGTCATGTGCTGTGCTTGTGTGTGGGGGGGGGGGATGTATGTGTTTGGGATCTGACAGTTACTGGAGTTCTACTGTACATTTCAGCTTCTAGAATAATATTTTAAATTCTGACTATTTGGGGGATTTAATGTCTGTCTTTGAAGGGTATACATTTTCTTTATTCCTTTTTTGAGAAAAAAATCAAAATGCAAATCAAAACTAAAATGCAACATGGTCCTGGGCTTTGGATACTGAAAAAAATGAGTAGTTCTTTTGGTCTTTTAGAGTAAAAATATTGTAAATTTTTTCAAAGATGTTTGAAAGCTCTCTTTCTGAATCATGCTTATTTGCATGTTTGCTGGTTTTAGGAGAAGGAAGACACTGAACTGAATTGCTGCATATGCATTTTTATGAATTTTGTATTATGCAACTCTGAGCTTACAGAATGTGCAGTGAAAGCTGAAGTGCTTTTTCATTTTATGGTGGTTTTGCTTTTATTATTTACTGTTTACTACTGAACACATAAGTGAGTGACTGATTTGGCTGACAAAAGAGTCACCACCTTCAATAATGACTGTCAATTCTTTTGCAGTTATACAGCTCATATGCCTAAAAATAGTGTTAGTTTGAAACAGTACTGTTACAGTCAAATTACTGAAAGCAGGAAGTAGAAATGAAAGTTTCTGTGGCACACTGGCAGCATCTAATTTTATTTCAGATGTACTGGGCTGCCCCCTCCAGAACATGACAGATCACCCAAAAGAACCCCAGACAACGGCTCAAGCTTTTTATTCATGCACAAAAGTTGGCAAGCAGCATTTCAGTTACTGATTATTTGATGTATATCCTGTGAGGATATAAAAGACAGAGATCAGTTTTTAAATGTGTGCTTACTTCCTGTAGTATCTGTTGTAATTATATGTAATTTATAATTACAGTTGTTCAACTAGATACTGAGTGAAATGCAGTTTTCAGGAAGGGCTTTTATTTGCCATAGACAAACTTTCTCTACTAAGTAAAGGCGACATTGCATGCCCTATAAAAATCAGTAGAAAAAGAGGGCCTTGAAGACTAGAAAAGATCTAACATTTTAGAATCTACAATCAGAAATATGGGTGGTATGGGAAAACTTGGGTTTGTTTCAGAAGATTGTTTCAGAGGATTTCAGATCTTACAGAAAATATTCATAAAGGTGGGTAATGCAAGAGGAAGCTTGTTTCTCAGAGCCTGTTTTATGTTAAAAAATTGGCAGGAAAGTGTGTAGCAAACTTATGATTGTAGGAATATAATATCACCTGCATAGTACATATACTGTTTGAAAGGTCAGAGCTAAAAGATACTGTGCAGAAGCTTTGGGTTCAGAAGCTGTCATGTAGAAGCTAAAGTTGAACAATTCTGTTTCCTCCTGCACTGGGAGGCAAAGCATAATATAGAAGGATTACACTTCACTTACTATGATATTGCCAAGTAAACCCTGGAGGGAAAGAAAGGGAATTTCATTCTAGACTGTTTCAAGTTATATTTCTCTTGTACTCAGGTGATGAGCTAGCAAACTAGCCATCCTTATCATTATTGTTGCTGTCATTTTTATTGTTATTATTTTATTATGTTGACAGGAAAAAAGAAATAATGTTCAAAAAAATTGGGTGCCTCAGTTCTGGGGAGGACGAACTGATAGTGGAGCGGGCTTTTGTTTTTCCCTGCCTTCTCTGAGTCAAGCTTTTCTCACCATTTTCAATCTGGCTGTTGTGCAGGTGGTTGACCAGATTGACACACTGACGTCTGATCTACAGCTGGAGGATGAGATGACAGACAGTTCCAAAACAGACACACTTAATAGCAGCTCTAGCAGCACGACAGCTTCCAGCTTGGAGAAAGTCAAGGTGCGTGGCAATGCCCCTCTCATCAAGCCGCCTGCGCACCCCTCTGCCATCCTCACCGTGCTGCGGAAGCCAAACCCACCCCCGCCTCCACCACGACTGACACCTGTCAAGTGTGATGAACCTCCCAGGCTGCCTCCTTTGGCCAACCCAGTCAAGACTAATGGCACCTTGCTGCGAAACGGGGGCTTACCAGTGGGGCCTAGTCGCGTCCCAAATGGAGATATGTGCTGTATACCAAACAGTAATTTGGAGAAAGTCATGGTGCAGAAAGAACGGTGTCCTCAGCCAGGAGCAAGGGAACGGGTACGATTTAGTGAAAAAGTGCAGTACCATGGCTATTGCCCCGACTGTGATGTTCGGTATAACATTAAAAACAGGGAGGTGCACTTGCACAGTGACTCGGCCCGTGTTGCTGGAAAGCTGCCACACCAGTGCCCTCCTCTGCCACCTCCACCACCTCCACTGCCTCCATTTCCTCTGGAAAATGGAGGACTGGGGATAAGTCCCAGTAATAGCTTTCCTCCTCCAAGACCTGCAACTGTGCCTCCAAAAACTCCACCAAAACCCCAGAAGACCATCTTGAGGAAATCAACCACTACAACAGTGTGAAGTATGCCACTTGTAATAACTCTTTATTTTTTCCTATATATAAACATAAATAGGTAATGAGCACTTTCTACTTGAGCAATAAAAAGACCCAATGTATTACTCCCTGTATCCAGTGGAGTGGCAGAAAAATCACATGGTAAGTACAAAGAGGAATACTGTTGATCTTATTTGTACCCACCAAAAATACCATTAAGCCAAATGATGCTGAAAAAATATTAATTCTTTAGCAGTTTTTTAATTGTAGCATGGTTTAAAAAAACAATTAAAAGAAAGTTCAGTGTGAAAATGCTGAGTAGTGATCTGTGACAAATTTCAGTCTATCTGACATGAGGGAATAAGCATTGCTCCTAGGTTTTGGGACTTTTAGAAGTAGTACCAGATAACAATTTTTGACTTCAAATGCATTTTTCTCTGCATGACTGCTTGAATGAATGCATTGTGTGTGGAATGGTGCAGTGGGAAGTAATTGCTGGACTTTCAGGCAGCCTGGTCTTTGGTGGGGAAGTAATCACTGAAACATATGTTGGCATGGCTCTGGAAAACTGAGTTATCTTGTGTTTTGTTTCTCACTTGCTCAGTGTGTCACAGCCAATGTAAAGTACAGAGTTTTGAGATGAGTAGGAATAGTCCCATTCAGTCCCCCTGCATTTCCACTGCTCCATTAGCAAAATGGTAGTGATATTTTATCTCATGTGCAATGGCAGTAGATTTTAAAAACAAAGCCCAATCCTATGTTTTCCCCACAGCTTTTGTCTGGTGCAAATCTCTTTTTGAAGGCAATGAAAATGTTGCCTAAGGCCTTCAGGGACATCCACTTAATTCATGTAAAGAGTTTTGAAGTTGAAAAGCTCTATGCAATTATGGAGCATTAACATTGCAAAACAAGATATTTTACATGTTATCACATTTTGAGGGTGAACCCAATTAATATTCTTACTAGTTGAAAAAAGTCCTCAGTGTTTTTAATTATTTTATGAAAGAACATCCTTTTATTCTCACAAAGAGAATTACAGGGATTTACAGTTTAAAAAACATCCAGTCAGTGAAGGAAATCTGATAATGAATCTGTTATTTACAAAACTGGTGCCAAATTAATCTCAAATGGCCAACGGCAAATACTATACTAAAAAAGCATATTCTTATTTCAGCTGAAATGTAAAAGGTACTTTGTGGTGAAACAGACAAAACTAGACAAGTCAGATTTTTAATTTTAATTTCTGTTTACAGGCAGTAATAGGTATTAAACTGAAAAGCAATCTTCAACCTGTTTCCCTGTATACATATTGCAGTACCTTGGTAGTATATAAGGTTAAATAATAAGAATAATCATGACAAAAAATCTAGCAGATAACCACCATTTGGAAACCTTTGCAGTTGACAAAGATTGCATTTTATGCAAATATACATTTAGGGTTTAAAGCTTCATGCTTTATTCCCTGCATAAAAGGCAAAGGAGGGAAATAATCTTAAATGCTTAATCATTCTTTCTCCTCATCTTCCTATCTGGTTTTCATGATGCACTTTACATTTTGTACTGTTTCACTGTACTTAATGCCATGATAGCTTCTGCCAAGTAGAGTGAGTCCTGGCACTTTCAACAGGAGGCAGTAACTCATTGTGCAAAAATATTCGTATCTCAAAAAAGTGGAAGTCCAGTTACAGTACTCAGAGCTTTAATTCAGTGTTTGCCAGTCAGTTTACCATTCAGTTTTGATTCCTCAAAGGTATTTTAAAGTCTGAATTGTCCAGATCTAGACTTCTCAAATACAAATAGGAGAAGGTGGTTTCCATCAATTTAATGAAAAAATAATGTAGGAAAATTAAGATAAGCAATCAAAATTACTTATTTTGTAATAATGGCACTTATTAATAAAAGCTAACAAAAAATTCCAAAAATTCATCCTTATTTTTATTATTAAATCAATATTTTATTTAAAAAGTGACATGAAGTAAGTGAAATAAACTACAGCTATTGCTATTAACTTCTTTCAGAAAACTTGATTATTGGTTTTGAAGAAGAGAACAGTGTAAATTTTTTAATTACCAGATGGATTTGTGTATGCCCTCTGGACTTTCTCGGATCTCTTTGTTTCCATGTTCTAATTATGACTTTCCTTTCAGTGATATCATGAGCAGTAATTTTACATGTGGAGATAAAACCATACTATGGTGGCTATGTCACTTATCAGATTTACTCTTACTGTAGGGATAAGTACTGGGCATATATTTTTGCAGAGGCAGCATTTCTCATACTATATATATATGCTGTTATCCCTGCTTTTTCAGAGTCTGTGTGTGTGTATAAAAGCAAAATACCTATTCACTGTTCAAACTAGGAATAGTAATGAAGCATAATGCTCAGAACCGCAGCAAGGTTTTGCAAGTGAGGTAAGTGCAAAGACATCTGGTAGAGTAAATAGCTATGGTATACCATGGTAAGCACAATGTCTTGAGTACCTAATCTGAAAAATACTTGGCACCTCTTAAGTAACTACATGGTGTTTTGTGGGAAAGTTTGTGGTAGTTACATGCTGCAGCCTTACATTTCTTTATCTTTTAACACAGATCATGAAGTTCATAAGTGAAGCAGCAGCAGCAGCAGCAGCACTGGTGTTACTGGCTCAGTGGTGCATGCAAACTGCAGTATAGCCTCATCTTTGATAGCAGTTACATGTTGATGGCTTTTAACTGGGAAAAAAGAGGAGGAATTTTATCTCACTGAACTGTTTCATGCTGGCAAATAGTCAAAGAGAGCAAGTTTCTCTATCAGAATTTTGTCAAGATATTTTGTCTATCTTGGGTTAACTCTGAGGAGCATGTGCAAGCTGATTTTCATTCCTGGTCTTAAATGATACAAGATCTAGCTCATGATGGTAAAAGAGCTCCCTTGTAGCTGTGACTGGAGCTGCTGTGAAAAATGGACTTAACCGGCTATCCTGCTTCAGGAGAGGCTCATGCAGTTGTCAAGCTGTGCAAGTCCGCTCCTGTTCTCTGTTTCTTCACATTTTTTCTTAAATGGCAGTGTTGCGTTACTACATGATTTGAGTGTTTGTTAAAAGATTGCACCTGCTCTGTGTTCATCAGTGGAACTACACTGTTTTTGTGGAGTATGTAGGTGGAACCATGGCTGTATTTGAGTTGCCCAGTACTTTGTAATGCTGAATCTTTGGAAATTTTGAGGCAGAGTTTTCTTACTTTTGAGGTAATCAATCTCCAGTCAGTTTATAAAAATAAGAGGAGAATCTCTTATGCAGGTATGATGAAGAGGGAACCTTTCATGTTTTTAGGGACTGTTTTTGTTATTGCAGGACAATGTATCTTTTGTTGCACAAAAATGTTTTTTTATAGACAGATGAGAAAAATATCAGGTCTAATCCAGGAAAAGAAATAGAACATAAATTGCACCTGATAGCCAGCCAACAGGAATGCTTCAAGCAATGAGTAAGACCAGAAAAATCCTACTGCCTTGCTTGGGGAAGAAAAAGGGCCGAACTCCAGGAATTGCTGCATCTTTCTCCTCAGGAGCTTTTTCTTTCATCCTGAAACACTGGATATATCCTAGACTTCTAATAAAATTAGTCTACCTCAGTGTGGGTTGTAAATTATGTTCATAATAAGTAGTTATGCTTTTATAAGGGTTTTCTGATAACAGATCTGTCCCTCTGCTTGATCTTTAAACTAACTTCTTATCCTATCTTGCAAGCAATAACACAAGGAGGAAAAATAATAAGTAAATTATGAAAAACAAGAGAACTTTAAACAGATATATTTAAGTATATTCCTCAACAGTGCTCACATGAAGATGACAACAGCAATCTAAGAGCTAGTTTTTCTATAAATAGGGTTCTTATCATTACTTTAAACTTAATCTAGAGTCACCTTAAGCTTAAGAGAGCAAGTAAAAAGCCAGTCAGTGACAGAATTTCTCACAGAAGTGTTTATTTCCTTTTCAGTTCAACACTGATTTTGCTAAGTAAAAGTTAGTACTACATGTCAGTCTCCTTCTTGGATAAAAGAAGACGAAATCCAGAATATTATGATAGTATCTCTTTGTATAAATACACAATACCTACAGAATATTTATTGGCTTTTGCAAATATTGTACACTGAAGGTAATGTTCTAACTGGGCTCCTTATACTGAAGCTAATTGGCTGTGTCCCTGTACTGCTTCCAATCTAGGACACAACTTGTGCTCCAGGTCCCTTGGCCAGTTGTCCAAAGGCCTTGGAGTTGCTCTTGATTCTCTGCAGCCTCTTTGATGGGTTGTTGCAGGGGGATTGAACTAGATGACCTTTAAAGGTCTGTGAAATAAGGAGAGGGAGAGAGAACGTGTGATGAATTGACGATAACCAATGCTCCCTGTCCTCCTGCACCACTGGCAGGGAGGAGGTAGATAAATCAGGAGTGAAGCTGAGCCCAGGAAGAGGGGAGGAGCTGGGAGAAGGCAGTTTTAAGATTCAGTTTTTATTTGTTATATTCCTACTCTGACTTGATTGGTAATATATGAAATTCATTTCCCTAAATCCAGTCTGTTTTGCTCGTGCTGGTAGTTGGTGAGTGGTTTTTCCCTGCCCCTAATTTGACTCATGAGCCTTTTGTTATATTTTCTCTCCCCTGTCCAGCTGAGGAGAGGAAGTGATAGAGCATCTGTCTTGGGTACCTGATATCCAAGCAGGCTCAACCCCTCCCAAGCAGCGTCTAAGAGTGCCAAGATCTAGTGGGCTGTTACTAGAAAATGTAATTTCCTTATAATCAATCTTTAGAAAAAGATAGTGTAAATTAAAAATTCAGGAAAAGTAAAGTAACTTTATTTCATATTCTCAAAACTTTTCTGCAAGTTTAAATTTTCTGACTGTGGTTTGCTTTACCTAATTAAATGTTTAGAAGGAAGCTTATTCATTAATTTTGGGGAAATAAGGTTTCTGACATGAGAGGACCCATTAATATAGTAAAAAAAAAAATTAAAAGATACTGTTGTCTGAGTTAATAAAATCAGACCAGAAATAAGACTAAGATTTTTCACAGTGAGCTGTGTAAGTAAGAACTTACTTGGAAAAGTAATTAGTAATCCACAATATGAAGTCTTTGAATTAATATTGTGTTTCTCTTAAAAAAGAGACACACCAAGTCTAAGG